AACCAGAAGTTACGCCATCTTGGATGCGCATGCACCACCGGAACCGGAAGTAACGTCATCGTGTCGTCACGCATGACCTACAATGCCATGCGCAGATCGCGTGACCTGATGACGTCATCAGAGGTCACGTGACCAAACCGACCAATTAGAAGCCAGGAGCGGTACTGTAGTGGGGCTACCAAACTACTCATGTGGTATGAGACGGCTCGGCGCCTTCGACGTCAACCACGTGTTCCACAGACATTCCCGGAACTTCGAAACATATTCCAGCAGATATGGACAGATATCCCCCATTACTTTGTGCGACGCCTGGTCAATTCCTTGTGACGAAGATGTGTTGCTTGCATCGCAACCAGAGGTGGACACACACGCTATTGATTTATAACTTGACATTTTGGCATGGTTTTTTTAATGAAATCACGCATTTTCTGAAGTCAGTATGGCAAATCAAACCATTTGAACACTTACAGGAGTCTTTTATCTGTTGCAAACCGAAATTATTTCAGATTTGGTAAAAAACATAACTTTGCATTAAATCTTATTCAATGTCACAGGAACTTTTGTTGTTCAGTATATATCACTTTTTACCTTCCAACATGTCTAACAATACAACATACTAGCTATAATTTGCGTCATAAACCACATAGGTATACCTTTTGCATGCACAGCAACTTTTCACAACTCTACTTTTTTTCAAGTGCTTTATGTTCATTCCATTCCATTCCATTGCATTGGTTATGAAATTAACGAAATAGTAACCAACGTGCCCACTTCGACTGTGATGAAAGAGCGGCTAACACACTGCATACATGGTTCAGACGTAACTGTATAATCCTCAATACTGATTTATACTGAGTAAACTCATCTCTTCAAATTTCATGCAACCTTTCTGTCACCTTTTGACGTCATAGAGGAAAATCAGTTTTCGTCATTTACGGCAGGCTATTTTTTCCATTGAATGTGTGTAGTTATACATACGCATATAACTCCATTTGATATATATATATTTATGTCGTTCAGATATAAAGCAGTAATTTGTTCGCTCACAGTTTCCGTAAAGCTGCTAAATAAAAAGAATCGTTGCACAGTACTTTTAGCTGTGTACGAAAAAAGCGGAGCAATTTGCTGTTTTTCAAGGCAGAATAAATTCTCAGACAACACTTAGCAGTCTTTTTGCAACCGGTTAATATTTGCAGTTAAATTTACACCAGCAGATAGGAAAATTAATTTTCTTCATCTCTGCGTAATTTAATAGCCGGAGGTAGATCCAATGCCGCGTGAGCGCAATTCTCGCACAAGGTTTACTTTTCCGATCTCAGGAAAATGTGCGTCAGAAAAAAACATCGGCATCCAGCGGGTTAGTGTGAGCCAGACTCCTGAAACAACCATGGTTAAGTTAAGCATTTCAAATACGTTACAAGTCATTCTTATTGCAAGATGTCGAATGTACTTCACACACAAAAGAAGATACTTGTACATAACACACTACGCTGTGTTCGTTGTGTTGGTTTTGAATATTGTATAGCCTAACTTTAACGTAAATTTGTCATTTGTTGAAACTTCAAAATGAAACTAACTTTTAACGCTCGGCACAATCTTTACAAACGGCTTCAGTATGATATACATGAGATTCCTGAGGAGTTAGGACGACAGGTCCGATATAACTGTCGCGGTGTCAATTACATTGGCGAAACGCGAATATGAAATATATAATACCTCGGAGTTTTCAACTTTTATCGACTCGTGTTGATATATTTGACATCAAAGGACACAAGGGGGAGTTTCTATTTATCATCCAACATCATTCTTCCAACTTTTTTCAGTTTGTAGACAGTAGTAAGCAGTGTCTTAGTGTAAACAAGTACTGCTGACAGCTTCAGTAGCAGAGCCATTAGTGATGTCAATTGATTGTGACGTCATGGTAACAGTGACGTCACAACGGTCTGCAAAGCATTGTGATGTAATTTCATTGATCTCATCCATGCGATATCTCCTGTGGGAGCAAGTTTGGGATGATAAACAGATCTTGCATACAGTCCGAAATTAATTGATAAACCGTATTACATCTCTCACTGAACATACTATTATGGTTGCTAACTAATAATGGAGGTATAAATATTTGTTTTATGAATGTCATAGCACAAGCAAAATACTCACCTGAATATTAACTAGGAATGTTAAGGTGTATTTCCTACAGTTTGATCGGACATGTCTGTGGATGGTCATGAATGGAAATAACATGACACACAAATCATGTATTTGGCTTGTCTTTCTTCAAGTATAGGTATAGAAACGAAACTTATTTCATGTCTGCCATCTTGTTGGAATATATACCTGCTTCTTTGAATTATATGTCTTCTTGTTGGAATATATTTACCTGCTTGTTGGAATATATTTACCTGCTTGTTGGAATATATTTACCAGCTTGTTGGAATATATACCTGTTTGTTGGAATATATTTTCCTGCTTGTTGGAATATATTTACCTGCTTGTTGGAATATATACCTGCTTCTTGGAATATATTTACCTGTTTGTTGGAATATATCTAACTGCTTCTTGGAATATATTTACCTGCTTCTTGGAATATATTTACCTGCTTCTTGGAATATATTTACCTGCTTCTTGGAATATATTTACCTGCTTGTTGGAAAACATTTACCTGCTTGATACTTTCTTGATGGAATATATACCTGTCTGTTGAAATATAGCCCTGCTTGTTGGAATATATACCTTCTTTTTGTAATGTATAGCTTCTTCTTGGAATATATACCTGCTTGTTGGAATATATACCTACTTCTTTGAATATATACCAGCTTGTTGGAATATATACCTTCTTGTTGTAATAGATACCTTCTTGATGGAATATATACCTGTCTGTTGAAATATAGCCCTGCTTGTTGGAATATATACCTTCTCTTTGTAATGTACGTATAGCTTCTTCTTGGAATATATACCTGCTTGTTGGACTATATACATGCTTGTTGGAATATATACCTACTTCTTTGAATATATACCAGCTTGTTGGAATATATATCTTCTTGTTGGAATGAATACCTACTTGTTTGAATAAATACCTGTTTATGCTTGGAGTGAATTTATTTAAGTGCAATTAAACTTTCTAACTATTTGCGTACATCATAACCACGTAACTCTGGCTTGTCTCAGTGTTTAAATACCATCTAAACACAGCATAACAAAAAAAAATCTAAACACATTACGACAAAATACATAGCATTGTGTTTTGTCGTAACTGCTTTTGGGAGTCAAATGGGACCCTACTACAGGTACTAAAAGTAACGCCGTTCCTTGTCACCATGGTCAGTTAAGCCATGACTTTGCAACTCGCCTTGTCAGCATCGGCTCAGCTCCGTCAAGGAGTGATTGGACTAACGACGCTTACTCCAAGCTGTCCCCATCAGCATTCATACTCGTAAAATAAAGAAACGCAACAGCAGGTTTATACTCGTATAAGTTACTTACTCTCAGTCCATCTATCAATACATGACAGGATCAGACCGGCCAGACTCGTCACTAAATGGGGAGAACTTAGATCGATCGTGATTCGACTCGATTGACTGCAAACCACGCTCACCTCTCCTATTGTTGACGGCATCATTTTACAGTGCTCTGGCCTGGCCTGTCTTTGTCACATGTCACCTTAGTTTGATTCGTTCAAAGTTAGATCTGACCATGAACTCATGTATGTCGTAATCGGAGAAATATCGAAGCCTACGTGCCAGATTGATCATCTCTCTATTGATTTTGTGACTCACTCCGGATGCTACAAATGAAAAGTATCTTACCTCTCTGCTTGGTGCATTAACTAATTGTCGATAACATGGAACCAGTCCAATGATAAATATGCAATGTCCGGAATACTCTTGTGATAAATGTGAAATGTCTTTTCTCGATTAATCCTTTCGAACTAAAAGTTCTCTGTCACGATTTTTGTATATCTGATGCAACTCATCACTGCAGCTGTAAACGGTTTAATTTGTCACAATTTCGTTACCATTTTCTAATGTTTTTGAGACGCATTTTAACCTTATAACAGTATTATCCTTATAATCTTAACATTTTCAGAATTTATACACATTCAAATAAAGTGCATACCATTTGGCATTAAAATAAAATGTGTAATATATATTGAAATTAGATGTACAAATCAGATTCCCTTAATGCCGAGCGCCAGACAGGGTAACAACAAGTACCATCTTTATACGTCTTTTAGTATGACGTGGCAGGGGATCGAACCTAGGGCCTTACTATATCCGGGCAGACACTCTACCACAAGACCACGGAGGTGGTTGTACCACCAGGACTTATTACAACGAACTGGTTACACTTCTCACATACAACTGTACAAATAACACAAGATAGCTTAATGGTGACTTGGAATATTTGCCTTTGTGACAACAAACTCCATAGTACAGGAGGAAGCGTAAAGGAGTGCAAATAACGAGGTTGCATGTTCGTATTCCGCCGAGGTTTAAAAAGAGTTGTGTTCATATGTATTGTTGCTGTTTGAGTAGTAGTGATCATTCAGGAAACGGAAGCCGACAATACAAGTATATCTGTTTACTACGATAGATCCTCATCTTTCTTGAGTTACAAAACGCTACAAAAACGCTACAAAAACGCTACAAAAACATTGAATGCACCTTTTTTAAATTCCCCACAATGAACTGAACTCAGGTATGTACGGGTCTTTCCCACATTTAAACTCTAAACACGCTTAGACCAAAACGCGTCAAAGTTATTGGACAAGAAACATTGTAGGTTTGTGTATAGGATCTAAACACATTTTGTACAGTGTAACATATGTGTCTTTTTGTTTATAGTTTTAATGATTGCTGCCACTGGGAATTGAATGGTGGAACACAATTTGTCCCTCGACTGCCAATCACTAATTTGCCTGTCCCGATCATAGACCTTTCCAATTTATGAGTGTGTTAACTTTGAAGCAGAATTTTGAATATGTCAAATGTTGATTCTTCCAGGATCCGACAATGATGCTGAGTTTCCTGTTTCTCTTGCTTCAATTCTGCTACATCCCGGCGGGTACGTATGTTCAAAGTGACGTTTAAACTCTCAGTTGCTCATTCGCTCATTCCCCCTTCCGCCCTGACCCGCCAACCTGTCCACAATAATCCCACTCACCCACTCACCCTTCACGACTGCCTATAAAGCACAGCGCTGGGCAATGCAAGGCATTCTGTTGCAGCTCCACGTTTGTCACTCCTCTCTACCTTGATTTGAAGATGACGTCTCCGGCAATCTACAATCTTCCTATGTCTATGTCTTCATCAGCATGGCTTCACAGTCAAAGGACCTGGCCTTGAACATCACCAGTCTACACAACACCGTTATAACTAGTCTGTCTTACACACCCTGATACAAATATATATCAAATACAGCCCATGCAAGTCTATAATGTTTGGCAAGTCTAGATCACTGCAGTATCAGTATATCTGAAAATGAAGAGAGTCACTGGGCTCCTTTTTATTATATTTTTATTAAGATAACTGAACAACTGTTTTTTTATGTACGATATGTTCATTTCAGAGACTAGATTTTAGTCTACGTTATAACCCAAAGTGAGTTATTCAAGACCAACTACATGGATCTCCAAAACCGCATTCAAGTGGTGGAACAAACGTTGCCATGGATCATTTGTAAGTGGGCAGGTAATCGCCAAAAAAAGAGAGTCACCTCTGTGAGTTGACTGATACAGACTATTATTAGATGGCTTATCATAAGGAACCCTTATACTGGCTCTCCATCGCCCCCTTTCGACAAAACACAAAATAATACATCTTTTCTGTTGCTTATATGCTGTGTTTGGTGTTGTATCTTCAGGGATCTCCAGTGAACCTGCATCAAGGTCAGATGCCTTTCTCTGTAACTGACCTTCTCCACAGTAACCCCAGACCTGGTGGAAGCCATGGTCACCGCATGAACTTTGCGTCATCCTTTTTACCATGCTGAAAGGGGGACCCACGGGTAAAGCATTGGTTGTCAAAGCCTTCATGGAACATGTGTTCTAACCTGGGATCCTTGATACCGCACCTCAGGGGATTGTTTGGGTATTTAGTGAATGGCAAACCATGCATGAGGACTTGGAACATCCAGGTTAGGTATTCCAATCACGTTAGTGCAAACCATGGGCAAAACCAACACTCACTTACCTGCAGGTACTACAACAAACACATGTTGGCCATTGACAATTTGCTGGGAAACAATACCAAAGACGAAGAGACTGAGGAACTGCGATGGTTTACAAAAACAAGTCTTCATCATAACAAGTCTGTGTTGTACTTGACCCACAAACTCTTTGCCTCATCATCGGACCTTTAGTATACATGCACATTACATGGTAATGTTTGAAAAAAACAGGAATGCCTCTCAAATTGATCACTTGGCTAGACAAGTCTTTCCAGGGCAGATGGCCTTTATTCCAGAAGCCTGTAAGGATGCCACCTTGGCTCCTTATTCCAACTTGTTTTTGGACCTGAAACCCACGGCGCGAAAAGTCAATACGTACCCATCTCTTTTGCAACCCTACCACCCTCTTCATTCCCAAGAAGTAAAAGAACAAATAGAGACCACGGTTCACAACACGGTTCACTTGATGCTTAGCTGTCATGGGGTGCAGACAGAAACAGATGAAGCCCACCCAGCTGCTCCAGTCACTCATAGGGTTGTTTAAACCCGTCCGAAAAACAGTCCGGACTTCCCTGGCTTGTGATCAAACCAAACAGCATCGGCGTTCAGTGCAAAGGTTGTACGGCAGTTTCATCTCTCCTACCTCTGCTCCTGGCAAAAGGAAAAATACCTCCCTTTATAAGTTGTATCCCACATCGTCTGACCCCTCCTTCCTTTCAGTCCTTGACCCTACCTCCATCCACACCCCACAACCCACCCCGTTGTCTCCAAACCACCACTCAATACATTCCAATCGTTTGTCATTGGCATTGTCATTGTCATGAGAAATATCAAGCAGAGCGTGTTCCTTTAAAGTCTTGGCGCAAGTCCTTGTCGTTGAGACAACAAAATGTGAGTACCTCGAAGTTAAGTGGTGTTTTTCTCCATAGTGATTCTTATATGCTGGGAGGGCGTCATGAGTATGGTTTAAGTGGTTTGGACCACAGTTGTATAGACTTGTGGACAGATTTGTAGGCTACCTGCTTAGGGTATTTGCTCCCACAACCAACATTGGTATCTTCTAGACCATGAGCCACAACAGCCATAGCAACAGCATTGACCATTCCTTACCCTACCTCCTCTAGTCACTTAAGGGTGTATCAACAGAATGTCTGTGATGAATATGTTGTTTTCCAAACAGGATATTTATGTGACCTTGCTCAGTGATGCTTCATTATGTGAATCATTAAGTTTTCAAACTCCCCTTTCCAATCAAAGTGAATCATCAGCAGTGGGAAGTGGGCGTGGCCGAACATCATTTTCCAATGACATGGTACAATATGGCTTACCCCTTCAACTGGTTTGTCCTTAGAGTGAACTTGACCAGGATGTATAGTTCAGCTGCCCCTGATGTCATAGTGACAGAACCAGAACCCAAGCATCACCATTGTGACCACGAAAAAGATCATTATTCCAAAAGGGGTTTATTCGAGTAAAAAAGTTATCCAGAGACGTATTGCTTCAACAAACCTGCACACGCCTGTTGCAGAAGTATACGGCTGATGTCGAGGACATTACATTTCCACTGTGAACTACCCCAAGGAGCAACCTCGATTTCATGCATGGAAAAAATCATCTGAACTTTCATGCTCCGACCCTGAAAGACACGTGTAGGCGTTGCACTGGTATACCCCACAGCCAGCCAACCTGGCAACATGAATTCAGCATACATCAGCCAACTGGTGTTGCCAGCTCCCTTGGTAGCATGTAGGGATTTATTTACCTACCCTCCTTCATGGTCAATGAAGAACAGGAAGTGAGCCATGTCTCTGATGTGCCTGTTCCAGCGGTTTTTATACTGTCAACATCAACTGGGGGAACATCAAATCGCAGAGGACACCATTGTCCCTTTGCTCATGTATGTTCCGGGGCGGTCGGGTAGCCTAGTGGTTAAAGCATTCGCTGATATTGCTGGAATATTGCTAAAAGCGGCGTAAGACCATACTCACTCACTCACTCATGTATGTTCCTGTGTCACGTCAGATGACGGAAGACAGTGTCACGATCAAAACGTCTCAACACTTACGCTACTTGGGATTGCATCAGGGATGTAGGGATGCCATCAAAATCTATTTACATGGATATTGTCGCACAGAGCAACTTTAGTGAACTAGTGCATGAAATGTGTAAAGGATTTCCTTACCAAATAAATTATTCAGTGTAAAGAAAGGGTTGAGGAGAAACATAGCCCAGATAACCATGATATTATGTGCTTTTTTGGAGTTGTTACAGATTCGGAAAATGACTTAATTTCATCCAAAAAAATTCTTATATCACTTTTGTTGCACAGACTTAACTGTCAGTACCTTGCACACCTCTGGTTCACGGAATTGAAGAACAATGTCCTGCAAGTCCAAATATTGACTTTCCATCCATATCTTGTGTAACCCCACTGAACCCGAACAACTGCTTCAAGGCGCCTCCTCATTCTTTGGATCAATCTCTGGATTTGATTCTGAGGAATTCTGTTCCATTCCTCATGCAAAGCAGCAGTCAATTCATTGAGCCTTTGGACAGGTGGGTCTCTTTGTCGAACACGATGGCCGAAAATGTCCCAAAGATGCTCAATGGGATTGAAATCTGGACTCATGGCTGGCCATGGAATGGTCTTAAACAACATTCTTTTGCAAGATCTGAGTGACAGCACATGCTCTGTGAGGCCAGACAATGTCATTCATGACGATGGTTCTTGTAGAAAGAGGATGATTATCAAAATGGGGGACAATGTTCAGCTCTTTCAAGGATATCCTGTTGATAATGAGCCCCATTAAGGTCACCGCGAATGGTGATGAGGTCCATCTTGCAACCCAAGGAAATGCATCCCCATACCATGGCTGATCCCCACCCAAATTGAACCGTTTCCTGGATATTGCGGGGAACTATGGCTGTGTTCCTTTGTCTCCAGACACGTGTACGACCATCCACCATAAACAAATAAGACCCGACACTCATCTGAGAAGTGAATCCCCCGACATGATGCAATGTTCCAGCAAACACGTTGGTTATACCAGCCAAGTCATGCTAATTTGTGAGAAGGAGACAGTTTAATACGTTTAATGGGTCTTCTGATGCTGTATCCTGCTGCTTCCACCAATTTCTGACTGTCCTGAAGGAAAGGGCTCTCTCTTGTAACCACTGTTGCTTTAAAGATTTGCTTGAGTCAAATGGACAGCGACTAACAAGTCTCAACAATGTTCCATCCTATCTCCTTGTTGTCTTGCGGGGTCTGCCAGGTTTTGGACGATCTTTCACATTAGTGGTAGCCATGTGTTTGTTCAAGAGTCTTGAAATGATGGAAGTTGATGTCCAATTTGTCTGTGGGACATTCCTGCATTTCTCATGCCAATAATTTGCCACCTTGTAGCCTCTGACAATTTACGACGTGACATGACAATTAGGGTACTGAACACGCAAAACAAATTGAAATGAGAGAGTGTGACATGTCATGACTCCAAACTTAATTTCAGCAATGTTGTCGGCTTGACATTGCCCGTGCATTACCCGTGCATTGCACGTGTATTACATGTCTAAAAAAAAGTCATGCTATACAGCAAGATGCAATATGTCACAATGATCAATCAGTAAAATGCTGTTTTCTTAATTCCCACAATTATAGGCCCATAAATTAGGTGTTGCTTGATTAATCATATTTAATGGAGTATCGTGACCTTCACTCTGTCCACATTATCTGGGTACCTTCTAATGTTCAACATGGTGGTACACCAGTTCATCACACACCACCATGCCACCAGTTTGGGTGGACAACAATGAATGAAAGGCCTGGAAGTGTACCGAGCACGAATCCATCAAAGAGGGAAAGGCTTGGGAAACATCTTCGGGATCTTTAGACAATTTAGCACTGCTCATACTCAAGACTGTATGAAAATCAGCACTCAAAACAGGAGCATGCATGTTGCCTTGATTTGTGGATGATATCAGTTCTGGACATAGAAGTATAGGGGACAGTTTGAAACACCATAGAAAACAGGCGTTATTCACCACATTGCGACAACACCAACTAGGGCCAGCAGCACCAGCTCGTAAAAGAAGCATCAAACACAAACATGCTCCCTCTCGTATCACAAAGAAATGCAAACAAAGTCCTTCCACTTCATGGTGACGTTCTCGATGCACTACCTGCTCCTTTTTACATCTTGAGTAATCCTTCTCACTCTGACCATGATCAATTTTAAAGTGTGTTTTCAAACAAGGCCTAAACAGATGACCCAGACCCCAGACGTGGCCATAGCTGGCTATTTCTGGCTATTTCGAGGTGATAGAGTTATCTGTTATTGCTGCGGTGTGAAACTCTGCCAATAGGAAGTGACAAACAAACGACTGTTGTCCAAAGAAGAATGGAAGAGAAATGTGGAGTGCCTTGGTCGATGTCATGCAAGCACACCCTCTGCACCACCAGCACCATTCGGGGTTGTTGAGGCCGAGATGTACCCAATATCGATCAGGCAGCCTTAAATATCAGTACAGAAGGGTAATAGACACAGTTCAACACCAGACACGGTGCTGTCAAGAACTGTCAAGATGTTGACAAGACTAGGTTCAACTGGATTCTCTTTTCTGTCCCGCCTGTTGTCACCTCACTACAAGAAGGTCAGTGCATATCATTACCGTCCTCGCGATCACCTCAGTGGCTTGACCTTGTTAAGCCTGTCAATGCTTTCATTGATTTGAACCAGTGTTACCGCCGTGTTGGTCTGAAAGTCAAGAATACCAATGTTATGAATGTGACAGTGATGATGGACAAAACATTCCCACAGTGAACAACATGATGCATTCCCTCTTTTGAGAAGTATACATGTGTGTAAGTAAGCAAGTGTATGGGGGATGCAGCCAAATCGACTCATCTCAAGTGACCAGGATGGTACACAGACAATCTCATTAAAATCAGATCTTAGTCCATGCTACGGTTAAGAGAGATCTGAGGACATCCCATTAGGGGTCACGTCAGAATAACCTTTCATCCGACCAATCAGAGCGTCACTTACCAGGTCATGAAAGTGACAGTCGGAATGTGATTTCTAATCATCCAACCTCGAAAAATTTAAAACGGGGTATTCCAAACGATATTTACAGGCTTCACGACTGAATCTATACAATCTAGACCATATATTAGCCATTTGAGAATGTTCTTTTGTTCAGGTTTCAAATTTTTAAGTGGGAATTTGTCAAAATATGTTTCATAGCGTAGTCGCCAGTTTGAAATTAGTGCCGTAAAAAACATGCAGGTAGCAAAAATAGTCCCCATGGTCCCTAGTATAGTGGCCTAACTTTTGTTGTTGGTGATTAATAGCCTGTTTTTATAATGTGTCGTCGTAGTCCAATCATTTTATTGATCTAAAACTAGTTTTAAATTATGATCTGTGATATATTGCTTGTTGTTGTACTGTCCTTTGATGACAGTTTTTTATATATGCTATACCTTGTTCAAGTCACGATATGGCTGAAATATTGCCGATGTGACTTTAAATATTAACTCACTCACTCACTAGTGCCGTAAAGAACGAGAAAGCTGCCTTCTGATTGGCTAATGTCAACTTCTTGTCAGTAATTCTATTGATCTGTCAGAGTTCGCGAAAGGTCAGTCTGACGTGATCCGTAATGGGATGTACTCAGATCTTTGTTTAGCGGCAGCGAGAACTAAGATCTGATTTTAATGAGATTGTTACACAGATGGAGCTGGAAAATGGATCATTATAATGCTGTCGCCCGGAATGCAAACACAGGCCTTGTCTCACGACAATTGGTCATTTTGCCCATCCAAGAAGTTGAACTGACAGGTCGTCTACACTGTGACTTATTTCACCAAGAACATTATTTGGAGGAGGGGGTCCACATGAAAGTTCAACTGATTCGTAGCCCCATTGATTTCTGTTTGATCAGTGCTAGAGATGTCAACTGTCAATTTGAACGGACTAAAGCCGAGTTTTATGTATGTCAAGAAAACATTGATCCTGCCATATGGGAACAATATGTGAAACACATGTTACCAGGAGTGATGGCCAAATAACCTTTGACCCGAGTCCAAGTCAAGGGAATGATTTCCACAAAGATTAAAAGATTAGAGGCCAGCTGCTTAAATGGGTCGTCCTGTGATTGGCAGACAACAAAGCCCTTGCTGCCAGCAAAAGAATCCCTTCCATTTCCATCATTTCAAAGTGACCAGCCTCAAGTTGAAACTCAATGGGCAGGAATTTCATGGAACTGAAATCAAAAGTGACTTTGAGGACTACAGTGCAGCGCTCAGACAACTTTACATAAACCTGTTCCGCAACACCAGACACCAGAGGCAAGAACATCCCTGCAACCTCACCCTGGACCAGTTCAGAAATGGCTACACGCTATGGGTCGTGGATCTGACTGCTGATCTGGGTGCTATTGCTATAACTACCCAAGACAGACTGGCAAGTTTGAATATGAAACCGTCCAGGAAATTAGTCGGTCCTGCAATCCTCTGATGGACGACAAGGGTGCCTTCCCTGGCTTGACCACCAAAGAGGTGAGGTGAAATGGGGTTTAACGTCGCGTCCAAGATTATTGCACTTATATAGCGACGTGCATGCACGTGTGTGTGTGTGTGTATGTGTGGCTGCTTGTACTAGTCCGGACTGATGCCGATTTATAGTGCTAGCTCACTGAGATACCATGCCGCAGTTTAACATGAATACCCCACTCAGACACAGTATACTGACTCCGAGCCGACCAGTCCTTGTTTTAGCACCTTAATGCCGAGCGCCAGACAGGGTAACAACAAGTACCATCTTTTAACCTCTTTTGGTATGATGCGGTCGGGGACCGAACCCCGGACCTTCCGCTCTCCGGGCGGACGTTCTACCACTAGACCACGGAGTGACCACCAAAGACTATGTGCAACGAGACCAAGGCCCACTTGCACAGAACAAAATCTTAGTTACAATCGATCTTAGGCGGCTACAATCAACTTTACAATCGCCATACAATTGTCCTATTCCACTTGCACAACCCGATCTTAGCGCAAGACGGCTTGGAGTTAAGATTGCAAATTAAGGATTTACAATAATTGTAGCGCTAAGATCGTTTTGTGCAAGTGGACCCAGGTGCTCTGACCTCTCTACCAAGGCACCTTTGCCAGAGATCACTTTACGCCAACCGCATGAATGGTATCCCAAAGCATACGTTTTAAACACGGACCCCAGTCATTTTTTAGGACAATATTGGGTATGTGTGTATCGCCTTGCACCAGGCATCATTCATTATTTTGACAGTTATGGACTCAAACCATACCAATAACACCCAGACGTACAGGATGTCATGACCTTCGTGGGATAAAAAATGCAACAGTGGAATCCTCATCCTCTTCCAAACCAATACATCACACATTGTGGTATGTACTGTTTGTATATGTTGACCCATCGTGCTGCTCGTGGATGGTCCTTTGAAGATGTAATGGAACTGTTTGATCCTCACAATACCACCAGCAATGAAGGATTCCAAATGCATTGATTTCAGGCTCAACATTTCTTTTCCATAGAAGAAACCCATGGCCAAAACTGACAACCTTGACAAGATGCACAATCTCATGTCATGTCTTAAACATGGTATGATTCTCATATTATGATTTCTCATATTATGGTTCTCATGTTACAGTTCTCAGAGTTTGTAAACAAAAGACCAAGGACGCCCTTAATCCTGTGTCTTTTGAGCCGACCAGTCCTTGTTTAAGCCCCTTAATGCCGAGCGCCAGGCAGGGTAACAACAAGTACCATCTTTTAACGTCTTCTGGTATGACGCGGCTGGGGATCGAACCCCGGACCTTCCGCGCTCCGGGCGGACGGTCTACCATTAGACCACGGAGGCGGTCTATTACTTGTGAATAGTCTTTATATGATTTCGAAACAGTTTGGAAGCTAACCTTTATATTTAATTTTGCAGGCCAGATTGATCACTGTAACAGTTTCCCTTGCGTTAATGGAGGCATGTGCTCGTCGAGTGCCACTGGGTTCAGCTGTGACTGTCCTGCTGGCTTCACGGGTCTGATGTGTGAAAGTAGGTGCAGGATGACAAGGACGAAATGAATTTGGTTCAACGCCGCTTTCAACAGTGTGTCATTTATATCACGGCGTGTCATTGATTGAGTGGGATTCTCGACTTGATGTAGGTCTTATCAACATTTACCAGTTCGGTTGAATTTTTGAGCATGGGAATGGTGCTGACAAACAAGGAATCAAAATGTTAGTAGTAGTAGCAGCAACAGTAGTAGTAGTAGCAGCAACAGTAGTAGTAGTAGCAGCTGCAGTAGCCGCAAAAGGAGAAGTAGTAAGAGCAGTAATAGCAACAGCAGTAGCAACAGCAGCAGTAGTAGTAGCAGCAGCAGTACCAAGTGGAATAACAGCAGTAGTAGCAGCAGCAGTAGCAACAGCAGCAGGAGCAGCAGCTGTAGTAGCAGTGGTTGCACCAGCAGCAGTAGTTATAGCAGTAATAGTAAGAGCAGCAGTATCAGCAGCAGTAGTAGTAGTAGCAGCAGTATTAACAGTAGAAGTAGAAGTAGTAGTAGCAGAAGTACTTGAAGTAGTAGCAGTAGTAGTTGAAGTAGTAGTAGTAGTTGAAGTAATAGTAGCAGTAGTAGTAGTAGTTGAAGTAGTTGTAGTAGTGAAGTAAGTCTTACTTGTGGATAGTCTTTATATGATTTCGAAACAGTTTGGAAGCTAACCTTTATATTTAATTTTGCAGCCCAGATTGATCACTGTGACAGTTCCCCTTGCGTTAATGGAGGCACGTGCTTGTCGAGTGCCACTGGGTTCAGCTGTGCCTGTACTGCTGGCTTCACGGGTCTGATATGTGAAAGTAGGTGCAGGATGACAAGGACGAAATGAATTTGGTTCAATGCCGCTTTCAACAGTGTGTCATTTATATCACCGCGTGTCATTGATTGAGTGAGATTCTCAACTTGATGTAGGTCTTATCAACATTTACCAGTTCGATTGAATTTTTGAGCATGGGAATGGTGCTGACAAACCAGGAATCAAAATGTTGGTAGCAGTAGCAGCAACAGCAGTAGTAGTAGCAGCAGCAGCAGTAGCTGCAAAAGGAGAAGTAGTAAGAGCAGTAATAGCAGCAGCAGTACCAACAACAGCAGTAGTAGTAGCAGCAGCAGTACTAAGTGGAATAGCAGCAGTAGTAGCAGCAACAGTAGCAACAGCAGCAGTAGTAGTAGCAGCAGCAGTACCAAGTGGAATAGCAGCTGTAGTAGCAGCAGCAGTAGCAACAGCAGCAGTAGCAGCAGCTGTAGTAGCAGTGGTTGCACCAACAGCAGTAGTTATAGCAGTAATAGTAAGAGCAGCAGTATCAGCAGCAGTAGTAGTAGTAGCAGCAGTATTAACAGTAGAAGTAGAAGTAGTAGTAGCAGTAGTAGTTGAAGTAGTAGCAGTAGTAGTTGAAGTAGTAGTTGAAGTAGTAGTAGTAGTAGTAGTTGAAGTAATAGTAGCAGTAGTAATAGTAGTAGTAGTTGAAGTAGTAGTAGTAGTAGTAGTAGTAGTAGTAGTAGTAGTAGTAGTAGTAGAAGCAATAGTAGTTGAAGTAGTAGTTGAAGTAGTAGTAGTAGTAGTAGTTGAAGTAGTAGTAGTAGTAACTGAAGTAGTAGTAGTAGATGTTGAAGTAGTAGTTGTAGTAGTTTAAGTAGTAGTTGAAGTAGTAGTAGTAGTAACTGAAGTAGTAGTAGTAGCAGCAACAGTGGTAGTAGTAGCAGCTGCAGTAGCTGCAAAAGGAGAAGTAGTAAGAGCAGTTATAGCAACAGCAGTAGCAACAGCAGCAGTAGTAGTAGCAGCAGCAGTACAAAGTGGAATAGCAGCAGTAGTAGTAGCAACAGCAGCAGGAGCAGCAGCTGTAGTAGCAGTGGTTGCACCAGCAGCAGTAGTTATAGCAGTAATAGTAAGAGCAGCAGTAGCAGCAGCAGCAGTAGTAGTAGTAGCAGCAGTAGTAACAGTAGAAATAGAAGTAGTAGTAGCAGTAGTAGTGGAAGTAGTAGCAATAGTAGTAGTAGTAGTTGAAGTAGTAGTAGTAGTAGTAGTAGTAGTAGTTGAAGTAATAGTAGCAGTAGTAGTAGTAGTTGAAGTAGTAGTTGAAGATGTTGAAGTAGTAGTTGAAGTAGTAGTAGTAGTAGTAGTAACTGAAGTAGTAGTAGTAGTAGTAGTAATAGTAGTAGTAGTAGTAGTAGTAGTAGTAGTAGTAGTAGTAGTAGTAGTAGTTGAAATAGTTGTAGTAGTGAAGTAAGTCTTACTTGTGGATAGTCTTTATATGATTTCGAAACAGTTTGGAAGCTAACCTTTATATTTAATTTTGCAGCCCAGATTGATCACTGTGACAGTTCCCCTTGCCGTAATGGAGGCATGTGCTTGTCGAGTGCCACTGGGTTCAGCTGTGCCTGTCCTGCTGGCTTCACGGGTCTGATGTGTGAAAGTAGGTGCAGGATGACAAGGACGAAATGAATTTGGTTCAACGCCGCTTTCAACAGTGTGTCATTTATATCACGGCGTGTCATTTATATCACCGCATGTCATTGATTGAGTGGGATTCCCGACTTGATGTAGGTCTTATCAACGTTTACCAGTTCAGTGGAACCTTGGAGCATGGGTATGGTGCTGACAAACCAGGAGAAAGCAGCAGCAGTAGTAGTAGTAGTAGTAGCAGCAGTAGTAACAGCAAAAGTAGTAGTAGTAACAGCAGTAATAGCAGCAGCACCAGTAGTAGCAGCACTAGGATTAGTAGCAGCAACAGAAGCAGCAGTAGTAGTAGCAGCTGTGGCGGCGACAGTAACAGCAGCCGTAATAGCAGCAGAAACACTAGCAGTAGCAGGAGTAGCAGCAGTGGCAATAGCAGCCCTAGAAGTAGGGGTGGCAGTAGTAGTAGCAGTAATAGTAGCAGTAGCAGTAGCAGTAGTAGCAACAGCTGGAGTAGGACCAGTAGTTTGGGCAGCAGTAGTAGTAGGGGTGAGAAGTAGTAGTAGTTTTAGTTGTAGTAGTAGTAGTTTTGGCAGTTGTGGTAGTTGTAGTAGTTGTAATTGTAATTTGGTTAAACGCCGCTTTCAACAGTGTGTCATTTATATCAGGGCATGTCATTGATTGAGTGGGATTCCTAGGGACATTCTCGCGATCTCGACCTTTGGAAAAGAGGTTAATATGCCCCAAAAAGGAGAATTCAAGATTTAGCCTAAATCTCGCGTTCTCGCGATCTTGTATTCTCGTGTTTTTGGTAAATAGCACTTCTTGCCAAAAGTTGACAACGCGAGAATGCGACATTTGGACATGATGCAAAATCTCGAAATCTCGCAATCTCGACTTGTCAAATTAGGCAAAAAAAACCGCGAAATCGCGAGAAAGCGAGGATGCGACATTTCATTTTCTCGCAATCTTGCGATCTCGCGTTTTAGATGCTGTCCGTGCGCATGCGTAACATCATAGGTCAAGGCGCATGCGCACGTTAGTAGTCCTTTGGTCATGCTTCTTTCATTCTCCAAGTAGCTTTTAGCAAAATTATGACTTGAGCTTGAAAATGCTATGTAATTTATATACACAAAGTCTGAGTCATCTCCTGTTGTGACAGTTTCCTATGTACTTTATATATCCACACGCAAAAGAAACGTAAGTGGTTTTAAGCAAATAGGTAACAAACACGGAACCATAAATTGATATGAGTTTTAGCATGTACTGAAGCCTGATGGTATTATCAATATTTTTGGTTGCATTTTGGAAGCCCCGAGTAAAAACGCAACATAAAAAACGAATCGCCAAAACGCACCATTTCAATGAATCGACAGATCATAAGAACACATAATCGACACATTAGTCGGGACACTGTGATCCGACGTCTCCGTTCCAACAACCTCAGATGTCTCCGGCGTGTCATCTTCTCTGATGAAAGTCGCTTTTGTGTCTCCCATGCAGACGGAAGAGTCAGAATTTGGCGGCGTAGAGGTGATCGTTTCGCTGACAGAAACGTTGTGGAAAGGGATCCATGGGGTGTACCTAGCATCATGATATGGGCAGGGATTGGACTTAATGCGAGACTTGGACCCATGTGCTTTCTGAATGTTGGTCAAGGTCGAGGACACAGCGTCACTGCTTAGCGGTATATCGACCAAGTGATCCGACCCCACGTTGTTCCATTTTTTGCGCAACATCAACAACACATTTTCCAGCAGGACAACGTTCGTCCCCATGTTGCAAGAGCTATCATGGATCTTCTGCAACAACACAACATCCGTGTTCTACCGTGGCCAGCCCTCAGCCCTTAACTGAACCCCATCAAACACTTGTGGGATGAGGTTCAAAGGCGTCTGCACAATGTGCACCCAGTCCCTACAACTGCCCATGAACTACGCACAGCTGCTCTGGATGTGTGCAGGAGGATCCCTAGGGCCTTCACAAATCGTCTGATCCACTCAATTTACAGGAGATGTGTGGCAGTGATGGTTACATCCCATTTGTAAGACATCCCATTAGTGAGACACCCATTGTAAGACAGTGGAGAAGGTGGGATTAATTAAACAAACACAGCCAGTCTACCCACTTAACAATGGTCACAGCCCATGATTAGCGGATTAATTAATAAGAGTAGGCCAACCACTCCTATGCCAGCCCTCTACAACGACGAGGTCTTGAGACATGATCTGGAGGCTGCGGCTATATTTCCCTCCTTCAGCCCAGTCGGCAGCGCCATGTACAGACACCGCAGTCACACCATCCCAAAACTCCCTAAAACCAGAGCTGAAGTCGACATTGCAGCACCCTGGAGAGAGACCCATGATGGTGAGTGGCTTCTGCTTTTTGCCGACGGTGAAGAAGACAAGATGCTGGTATTTGCAACTGATGATCAGCTTAGAGTCCTCCAGTCAGCTTCCATTGTCTAAATGGATGGTACTTTCTCTGCCTGCCCAGATCTTTGGAATCAGCTTTACATACTGCATGCACGGAAAGGAAGCATTACCTAACCCCTTGTCTATGCATTGATGCCTGATCGTCGAACTACAACTTACCAACGCCTCTTTGCTCAGTTGAAAGTCCACATCCAACAACTACTGAACCAACCATTCAACCCAGAGACATTCCAGGAGGACTTTGAAGTTGCTGCCATTAGAGCCCTCCGGACAGAGTTTCTTCCACTTTACCCAGGTGATTTGGCGGAAGACACAAGAGCTTGGTCTTGCTGTAGGATACAGAGATAACCCCCTTGTGGAACAGTGGATCTGACGAGCTGCTGCCTTGCCTCTGCTGCCTCTTCAACAGGTTCAGGATGCATGGATTGACTCCATGAACCAGTATCCCGATGTACCGAATGCTGACGAATTCAACGACTACAGAGTCACAAACTGGGTGGATTATGAAGCCAGATTCCCTCTTTCGCTGTGGAACCATCACTAGACATTCGGCCCAAGGACCAACAACAACCTGGAGGGTTTCCACAGTCGCCTCAATGCATCACTGAATCATCGTCATCCTAATCTCTACAGGTTCATCGAGATCATCAAGAAGATTGAGAAATCTGAGAAGACCAAGCTATCTCAGTTAGACCCAGGTGCAGCTCCACCAGCAAGAAAGCGTGTGTACAAGGAGATTGACAATCGACTTTCCAGACTGAAGGATCAGTTATCCTAGGGTGTCAAGACACCTCTCCAGTTCTTGGATGCTGTTGGCAAACTTCTGAAAATGGATTAAGGTTGTGTCAGTGTGACAACCTCGATGTAAACTGTGATGTGAACTGTGAACTGAACTATAAGTGGCGAATATATTAAAACAATGGATTTAAGGGATGGATGAATTAAACTGTTGAATGAAATAAAGTAAAAGAGGGTATCAAGCATCTTGAGTCATTTCTTTTGTCTATAATTAGACAAGTCTATTTCAGTATAGGGGTTAATTACCTGATTAGCATGTGCAACTAGGTATGACATTGTTGTTTTAAGGTGTCCCACAACTGGGCTGTCTTACTAATGGGAGGAGACCGCAGTGATCAATGACCCCATGTTGTTCCATTTTTTGCACAACATCAACAACACATTTTCCAGCAGGACATCGCCCGTCCCCATGTTGCCAGAGCTACCATGGCCTTTCTGCAACAAATCGACATCCGTGTTCTACCGTAGCCAGCCCTCAGCCCTGATCTGAACCTCATCAAACACTTGTCGGATGAGGTTCAAAGGCGTCTGCACAATGTGCGCCCAGTCCCTACAACTGTCGATGAACCACACACAGCTGCTCTGGGTGTGTGCAGGAGGATCTCTAGGGCCTTCACAAATCGTCTGATCCACTCAATGTACAGGAGATGTGTGGCAGTGATCAATGCTAATGGTGGTCACACCAGGTATTGACTGACATTTTGGGTATTGACCCGAAACTGTGTAAGCCCTTAACATTTGAAAAAAACAATTATGGCATATGCCTTTTAATCCATTAAACTGTCTTCAGTAAAAAAAATTGTCAATCTTGCCCTTTTAGTATTTCTTGTCTTTACTGTTGAAAATAAATAACATGTATACTGCATACTCGACTTGCGTTTCTTTTGCTTGTGAGTATATTAAAACACTCAACATGCTCAACCTAATTTAACAAAAGAAATTGTGTACATGAATGTCCAATAATAGTGAAAACATTAATGTGTCCGAAAGCTGGAAATTAAACTATCACCGTCACTGAGTGAGTGAGTAATATTGCTAAAAGTCGCATCAGCAGTATTGCAGCTATTCGCGGCTACGCTGTCAGTTACAGAAATAATCACAGGCCGTTGAGTTTCTCCATGAGGCAATATTATACATGGCTAGCATATTCATGAAAGCAAATTCTCACAGAGCAATTTGAAATACAAAATTAATTATTATATTTTCATCCGTTCCAACCTGACTACCAAAACATCCCGCTTAACATTATTTTATAGCCAAAATGGATCAAATTATCATTAAACCGCCCGCATGTTATCATAAATGAGCGGGCCACTGTCAAAGAAATAAACGACGAGTGGGGTACAATACAACACTGCAGGGAGAATAAACCATGAGGAGCGAGTGTTTTATTGTACAATAAACAACAACCACGAGTCGTTTAATGATTATATGAGATATCAACATTATGTACAGCCTCTTTAAGGATGTTGATTAAATGTACAAGGTTTAAAAATATTTACCCCTATTTAAGGTGGGTATTTCCCGCATATGCTCAAACAATCCTCAGGTCGATTACATGTACCTTTTCTCCCAATACCGATTGTCATATTGTAACCGGGTTTGTGATGGAAAATACAATTTCAAACATAGGCTACGGGTGTGAGTGTTTATTGCCCAAGTAGATAATGACATCCTGTAATGTACAAAACAATAACATTATAAAAACAATAGTACATATGAGTCATAATTATTGAGAATTGAAAAATCTTTAAAATTGTAAAGATATAAATTCCCCCCCCCCCCC